TTTGGGGAGTTTATATCCAGTTTACTTCGTTGAAGAAGCGGGCTTTTTTTTGCTTTGTATGCCGGGGGCGGGCGGGAGATTCCTGATTGGTTGTTGGTCGCTTTGGGCGCGAGAAATCGCCAAGCCTCAGACACGCCCAGCTTCAAGATTTTTTGATGCCTGTAGTGTAGACGGGCCGTAAGTCTCTATTACCTGAGTATTAATAACGTATCCATGCTTTTATTTTTATCATTATTATTACTATTATAATTTCATTTCGGATTTGTCAACTGTTATAGGTAATCTATGAACCTAGATGTGTTTATGTTGTTATGTATGCGTTAAAATGCAAAATTAAAATATAATAAAAAAGTCTTTATTACCTGGCGGAGGGAAGCAGGCCTTGGATGGTGGTGATGAAGATGAGAACGATGAAGGCGCACACCAGGTTGGACTTGAACACCTCGTCTCTCATCTGGGAATACTGCGCCGTGAGAAGGAGAAGAAGAACAGATAGAAAAGGAGGGGAAAAAGGAGATGAGGAGAAGATGGAGAAACATGTTTTCAGACAAACAGAGAAGACACTGAGATGCTCCTCAATCAAACCAAACAGACGCTGTAATGGTTCTACAACAAGCGTTAGAGAGAGACAGGAGCCGGGGGGAGGGGGGGCAGGCTGAGGGTCCTGGGGAAGGTGCAAAGCTGACGAGCACAATGCTAGCTGTTAGCCGTTAGCCGTTAGCTGAGTCAGACACAAACAGAGTGCTGCACCAAAATAAATAAGACGCCTGCAAAGCTCAACAGTTTGAAGACTGTTTAAAAATTTAACCAAATGAGAATTTACTGGATTTTTGAAATGTTAGATAAAGACTTTATACAAGGTTTATAGCCCTAGCAACTCTGCGGCTGTAAGTTTGAGGTTTTTAACACTTACTTGATACTTTTCCTACACCACTACATTGGTTTTACCTTAAAATAGCAGTAATAGAGTGCTGTAGGAGTATTGAAACCGGGATAAGATTATTTTAACACTTCCTGTTCCCTAATCTCAATAGATTTTTGGTTAGAAGTCTTTGGTCATTAAAAGCTAAAAAAAAAGGGGGTTGCTAACAAAGTGAGACTGGTCTGCCTTTACTTCCTCGCTGTGTATATACCAGCACTGTTGTTAACTATTGATAAATCAAACTTTCCAACTTGTTTTCAAAGTCAAATCACAATAAGGTAGATTTCCTAAATTGCGGCGACATTGATTGTTTATAGCGTTAGCAATAGCGTTGTACCTCTACCAATTGCATTGACGCTTTGTGAAGGTTTTTTTGGTATCATGCAAAACAAACCAGAGTTCGCCCAAAGGGAACATTGGAAAGGATTAGATGTTCCCTGGCCAGATGTTGAAGAAATGGTTTAACGTTTTTGTAAATTAGCTGGAGGAGAAGATGTACTTGAACGAAGTAATTGGCCATATTGAGATAAGTCAAACCATCTGTTGTGATGTAGGCAGCAGCTCTGATGCTCTGCAAGACTCTCTAGATTAATCACCGGTCAGGACCAAAAATAGGACTCACTTTTTTGGACTTTCCTTCTTTCACTTCTTTGGTCGTTTTTTTGGACATTGTTTTCATTTTTCTCGACTGTCTTTTTTAATCTTTTTCATTTTTTTGGTCTTTTTTTTCCTACTTTTTTTGAATTACGTTTTTATTAATTTTGTCTACTGTCAATATTTTCTACTGTCTTTTTTTCACTTTATCAACAGTTCCGGACTTTTCATTTTGTTCACTTTTTTTCGACATGTCGGTCTTTTTTGTCCGTTTTCTTATAGGCCCGACTTTTCATTTTTTGGACATTTTTATTAGACGTAATCTTTTTCATTTTGTTTCGACTTTCTTTTGTTTCACTTTTTTTGACTGTCTTTTTTTTTCACTTTTTCGGCATGTTGGTCTTTTTTGTCCGTTTCTTATTAGGTCCGGACTAGTAATTTTTTTTTTTTTTTTTATCCGACGTAATCTTTTTCGACTTTCTTTTTTTTCAATTTTTACGACATGTCTTCTTTTTCAACTTTTTTGGTCTGTTTTTTTAGTTGACTGTCGTCTTTATAAATGTGTTTTTTCTTCAATATTTTCTAATGTCTTTATTTCGCTTTTATCGACAGTCCCGGACTTTTCATTTTTTTTTTTTTTTCGGACATGTCATCTTTTTCGCTTTTTTGGTCTGTTTCTTTTGTCACTTTTTTCTACTGTCCTTTTTTCTCAATTTTAAACCCCCTCATGACCCTCGCTGCCCCGTCCTCACTCTGTCTCTTTCTCAACGGGCGCTGGGAAATTATCAAGAGGATGCTTCAACTTTGGCAGAAATAAAAAGAGGAAGGCCAACAGCAAATCACACTTACTGAAGAGGTCAACTAAAAAAATAAGTTCTTAGAAAAGTTTTAAACATGGCTTGGGATTCAAAGGGAAGCAAAGAAATAAACTCAAAGGCAAAATGGGCTTTAAAAAAGGGGGGAAAGAGGAATTAAATCTAGGGAAGTGCATTGCATTCACCAAAGAAAAAGACCTTCTGACCCATTTTCTTGTCACTATGACTTCCACATATCATGAGTACATTTAACATTTCAATATAGAAATGTCTTCCCATGGAAACGACTGTTCCAATTTAACGTGTTATCAACTGTTGACAGCCAACATTTCAGCTGTAAATTAACACAATTACAGTGTGTATCTTTCCTTGCCTTCAAACCACAGAGGAATCAAAGCAAGTAAAGGTCTAAAACTAGATGCTTTTATTTCCCACCAAGTTACTTTATCTTGTTAACTTCACTGACACTAGTATATATGTTGTATATCACAGTATTTAACAGGTTGTTATAGCTTTTCATTGAAGATTATCTCCATGTTTTGTCAAACTCTGGACTATATGGACTAAATGGAAAAGTTCTCCTTGTTTTGCCCCATTTTTGAAACATTTGCCCTATTTTTAAACATTTTGCCTGATATTTTATGTATCTTTCGAGAATTTGAAATCCCCAAAGTTCCCCATTCTGACAATATTGTATTTCACATTATTTAAAAGCTAGTTGTAATTTGCCATTGAAGATTATCTAAATATCTAGCAAGACTAAATTAACTTAATGGAAATACTTTCGTTGTTTTGTCCCATTTTTTTACACATTTCACCATAAATTTCACCTGATATTTTAGGTATCTTTGTAAGTAGAATCGGAAATAAAGTTATTTGGGTTTGTTGGTATTGGTTGACCTTCCAGTTATGTGCTAAGGGACAGTTCATCTTGAT